GGTCACTAATGTGTCCCCACAGCGCCTCTTTCCGTTGAGTTTTACACATTCTTCAAACGCAAGCAATAGCTTCTGCAACACTTGCGTTTCAGGCGCATGCATTTCCTCCGAACGGAGGAACGCATACACAAGCCAAGGTCTTTCCACTGGAAATGGGAGTATTGTGCGCAATTTCCATGCGTTTTCTCCAAAGATCAAAACCCTCCAAAGCAAAGAACGTGTCTGCATTTACATCTTTTCCAGTGCTATTGAAGCAATATAATATTATTTTCTGAATACTATCTCAATATAGAAAATATTGATACAATTTTGTAATGCTGCACTGAAAATTGCGAATTTCCGAAAGAAAAACTAGGTTTGTTTCTGATTCATAAATGGTGAATTTTTCTTGTTTCTAAATGCAGTCATTTACTTTCTCAAATACTTTGTGTAGTCACACTTTACGAACTATTTGGAACAACACTAACAGGCATTAATCCTGTCATATGTAAGATGTTATTGTTCGAACAAAGCTTAAACGCGTATTTTACGTTCAAAAATTCGTACGAGAATAGTTACAATCATTCCTTTACCTTCACTTACTATTCAATAGTAGAGAAAGGAAAATCATTTTTCAGAAAATTTCAGAATTGTAGAAGGCACTTCATGAAAAATACTTCCAAAATTAAAATACTTTAATGATCTCCGGAACGGTGCAACCAAATCTTACTTCTGACGTATTTACCAAGTTTGAACTCAAAATAATCTAAACTGGCAGAGTTATTCGTGGCTCATCCATCCATCCATACGGGCAGACATACCGATTTAAGGGAACAAAATTGCGCGTATTTCCTAGATACCTGCCCCAATCTTAACCATCTTTGAAAGAGCACTAACAGAACTTGTGGTTACGTTTGTACAAAGTTGCAAAATAACAGACCATTTTGACGAATAAAAATTCAAGATAGTTTTGTTGAGGTGCTTCCAAAACTGTTTTTCACTTTATAGTTAAATCAGACAGAAAAGTAAAAATTGCCTTCAATAATTGGTTAATGACTTTTGTCAAAATCTTGACGCCGGATCTCGCCATCCAGCGGGAAAAAAGCACCGCCACCTCCCTAGCAAAAGTAGTAGTGCTGCAGAATGGCACAGACATTCCCGTATTAGTTTTCTATTTCCTTTGGTCTCGGCTAGCTATTCCGACTTGCTACAGACTCTTGCCAGCTGCCATCTATCACCGTTTGAAGTACATTTTTTTAAAAAATGTTCTCAGTTTTTCGGTTTCCTAATGGTAGAACTGTAAGAATATTAAAAAAAGACTAAAACATCATCATATATGAAACTTTCCAGAATATTTTAAAAAAAAATGTTAAAGCGTTATTGTCAATCCGACATTTGAAACTCTGAAAACATTTTTGAAGTCATTTCAAGCGCTTGCAGTCACAAATACAATTGTGTTTACAAATCGATGGAACTGGGCATATTAAAGGGACAAGAGATCTTTCAGACAGTTATATTTTTGTAATTTTTGAAAAAAAAACAAAGAATGCAGCAAAATTAATTCTATGTCATCTTAAACAGAGCAATTGGCACTATACGTTTAAGAAAGTTTGCAGAAGAAATTTGGAGACGATTTTGAGAAAATGGTTGAGTGTTTCTAAAAATGTGGAGTTTTGAGATAGTTTTTACTGAAACCGGTTGAGTTTTCGAGAAACTTTATTTGACGTCATTTATAGTTCATATACTTATTGTTATAAAGCTGCAAGGAATTAAATGATACTAATGAACTATTAACACTACTGTTCAACCATTTGAGGACCAAAGCAATAACATTTAAATAATATTCATTTGAGAATGTTCGATTTATCAATGTAATTTTTAAAACCTAACCTTACATTGTGATATAAAAATGTGTCGTTCTTACTAAATATATTTTTGGGCGACTTTGTCATTATTACATCCGGGTCTTTATTAGCATTTTTCGAGGTAAAGTCCGAAGTACTCGCAGGCTGCAGCGTGCTCCTCTTTCGCGCTTGACTCAAATATTCATCAGTTTCGTCATTTCTACGTTTATCTCGGTGCTCTCTAACAATAAATAGGTCCAACATCGGTTCTCTTGGACACAATCAGACACCTTAAATATATTGTCAAATTTCCACACGCCAGCTCGCCTTAAATATATCGTGCGAGGGCACCACCACGCATGGCGCGCGCAGTGTAAATATTGAATAATGTTTTTGGTCGATTTCGAAAATAATTTTTTTCCAACAGTTAACAAAAAAGTAATGAAAATGCGATATAAAAAGAAAGATTTTTTGTTATGTACTTGTAATAGAAAGGTAAAAGTGTTTAAAAAATGTATCTTTTCGTGCCAAAAATAAAACAGTGAGTGCAAAACTCACATAATGTGTCTCTAAAGTTATATTTTATCAACTGATACCGTAGAAGCAGTCTAGTCTCTGATGGCCTAAGAGTTTTCTGGCTGGTGCCTGACAAAGTGTGCGTGTCACTAGATGATTCTCTGCCACTTTTCGGACACTTATTACAAGGTGATCAACAGCATTTTCAAACAAAGCTATTTTTTGTATTACAGCGCTGTAAAAAATGCGCATTTTTTAAGCTTTCTATTGCTATTTTATGAAATGCTTCTGATGTCATCATTTTTAAATTACAAAGTGACACTTGATACACGTTTTCTACGCTTACCTTCATTTTTAGTAACACAAAATTTTATTACATTACTGGCAAGGCGTCTTGCCTGCGCGCGAAGTGACTCATCTCGACTTGAGTTCCCAAAGCTACGCCCGCAAACTCGCTTCACGCTCCTCGCGACTTTGGTTAGCGAAACTGACTGTACAACCCGTGTTTACACTGTTCCATGACGCGCCGCAGTCTCCTCCTTTATTATTCGCTTCGTCGAGTTATACTATGTTCGTCTTCGTTGTTACAATACAGTCTATAAGAATTTATGGCGACTTTTTTGTGTGTAATCCTTGTCCAGAAAGAAATGTCTATGTAGGGTTTTAACATAACACATAAACTTGTACACATATTCAAGGTTATTTTGGATGGAACAACTAGACAGTTCAGTATTTAGCAGACATAAATATTTATTATTTAATAATGTATGAATTTATACAAAAAGATACAGTAGTTGAATTTATAAAATGACCTCTTTATTTAGTAATTTACGACAGTCAGATATCTGCAAATAGTATAGGATGTTCAATATCTGTACAAAGAGGAAGTTGTACTTACGAGTAGCAGACTGGTTGTGTAAACTATTGACATTTAAAGTGAAAATTTCACTTTTGGTTTATTCATTGTTTAATCAGTAACCAAGTAATACAAAACTAAATACAAAAATACATCATTCACAGTTTTTACTGTTTCTTTGACAAACATATAAAATCATATAATGTTTGCTGGATTTGAGGAATTATTACATGAAGTTCCTTAATAATATTTGCAATTAGTTTAGTAAACTGGCTTTTATGATAAGATGACACATTTATTGTGTACAACCCTTTCTGAATGGGGGGGGTGGGGGTGAAAGAGGAGTCAGGGGATATTGCATGCCCATGCTCGCACGAGCGCCGGGCTTCGCACGCGGGCAAGTATCAAAAAAATAACTCGTGTGGGCGCGTTCTGTCATACGTGATATGACCGGGAAGCCAATATAATGAGCAAGCATTACAGAATGTCGGTAATGGGAGCACAGGTACATTTTCACATATTTAATATTTTTGTAAAGATACGAGAAATAAATAGTATAAGTAATAAATGATAACTGTCTAGTAAATGTAATATAAGATCGTTTAACGTGGTGGACTGCAGGTGGCTCTCGCGTCTCGAATTGGTCAGGTCCGGCGCCAGGGTTTTCATCAATGTGGATACGCAAAACAACACACCAAGTACTTACGTAAGTCACAAATCATAGAAGTTGGTAAGTATGAAACGAAGGTAAAAAGCTATTCCAGGGTTATTACAAACCATATTGTACTTGCTTCTGAAAATGAAAAATAGTGAACATTTTTGTGGCAGCGCAAACATGCTACGTAATTGAGAACATGTCGGTGGTTGACAGTAATTACTGTGTCAAAAATAGACATAATGATTTTACATCAATATCACTAAAGCTTCTAAAATTCACCAAAAAAAACCATTTCTCGATTTAAAAAAATTGATAATTGCCCGTGTGTAATTTGGGCAGACAGTATATTGTGGTCAAAGTTATTCCAAAGCCCCCTGAATTGTTTTATAGAATCTCCTTGGCTGCTATATAAAATGTCATGGAATTAACATATTTTATGATTATAAACTTCACTAAGTTGCATAGATGAAAATATTACGGTGCGAAATATTTGTGATGACTCCGCAATCCTTAATAGTTATTTCTATTAGATAGAAAGTGCTACCAGTTCAATTAATACTGTCGTATGTGAATCCATAATCGATACGAATGTTGCTCGCTGACCACAAAAACGTGCTACCGAACATATTCCGTCTTATAGTACTTAATGACATGAAATAACTACCATTGTGTTGTAACATTGTGGTTAACGGACAAATATTGGTATTTCTTTGAAGATAATAAAAAACGTTAGGACTTGCCCTTTAACGTTATTCAAAGAGTGTTGTTTGCACATTTACAAGAAATAATTATAACAAGATAAAAATGAAGAACATTTGAGAAATGAGGAAATTAGCGACATGCCTTCGTGCATCAAGTAAGTACACCAGTTGTTTAATTTTAGCAATGCGGGAGAGAAATGATGTTGTAGGCCAGTTTCTGTTGTCACGGTGCATATGTAATGTAACGAAATTTAATATCCTTTTGCTGCAGGTGACGGTGCAGTTATTTTTACTTTACAAAACTGTCAATTAAGTAGACGGCAATGTGATGAAGACAGGACATTGTTTAAAGCAAGTTTTACTTCAAGAAATCTTGAAGAAATATAGCGCTTCTTATATACTGCACAAGAACCCTAGAATTATGGCTTTCAAATACCTTATTGATAATGGCAAACAATCCGAAATATGGGAAGCACTTAAAAGATTTTGATAAATATCTTACATCTGCAAGAAGAGAGTTTGAAGAAAAATTTGAAGCTAAAGTTCCCAACAACGCACAAATGAAAGATTTTCTCAGGAAGAGAACTTTAGGCACTGGGTCTTTTGGACAAGTATTACTTGTAACTCACAAAAGATCGAAGAAACCTTTTGCAATGAAGGTTCTTGAGAAAGAATATATAGTACAGCTGAAACAAGTAGATCATACAATAAGTGAAATAAAATTATTGTACGCTTTAAATTTCGAATTCATAGTACGGCTAGATTTTTTCTTTAAAGATAATGTATATTTATATTTAGTCATGCCATTTATTAATGGTGGAGAGATGTTTTCCCATTTGCGTTCCAGGAACAAATTTGACGAAAATTTAAGCAGATTTTATGCTGCACAAGTGATTTTGGCCTTTGAATATTTTCATTTCTTGGGAGTAGTTTATCGAGACCTTAAGCCAGAAAACATACTTCTCTGTAGAGACGGTTACCTGAAAATAACAGATTTAGGTTTTTGTAAGAGAATCTTGGAAACCAGAACGTGGACTTTATGTGGAACTCCCGAGTACCTCGCCCCAGAAATCATAATGAGCAAAGGATACAACTTTGCTGTGGACTGGTGGGCTCTTGGGGTGCTTATTTACGAAATGAATGCAGGTTTCCCTCCGTTCTTTGCGAATGAGCCCATCAGAATCTACGAAAAAATAGTGGCAGGGCAGTTCAACATGCCAGGGCATTTCTCCAAGGCGCTGAAAGATCTGGTGCCCCGATTGCTGCAGACGGATCGTACCAAACGCTTTGGGAACTTGAAGGCCGGAGCGAGGGACATCAAGGGTCACCAATGGTTTGCGGCACTCGATTGGGACGCAGTACTCAACAAAATGCAGAAGCCCCCCTTCGCCCCCAAGGTGCTTGGAGACGACGATTCTAGCAACTTCGAGAACTTTGAAGACCAGCCCTTGCGGTCAGGCGCTCAAAATGAATACGGGGAAATGTTTGATGCTATTTAGATCCAGAGTACTTTTAACAGGATTCATAATTTTGGCATCATTATAATAACACCGACATTGTGATTTCCAGGACCAACCATTACGGACATGACCTCGGAATAAATATGGAATATTGTTTGCTATTTATAAAGTGACATATTTCAACTTTTGACGATGTTCATTAGCTTAATATTAGGTAGTGATAGGTGGTATTGCTAAAGGTGTATCAAGGGTTGACGAAGGTAATCGAAAGTTCATCTGGATTGGAGAATAAAATGTGATTTTATATTAATTTTATATAATTCTAAAGGAAAGTATGTATTATTTGCCGTTTCGTTTGTCACTTTGCCAATTCCGTTACAATGTTTATAAATACTGTATATAAAATATATTCATTATTAATCTCACAAAAATTTATTCTTAGTCGGAAATCAGGCTTTTCTATAATGTTGAGAAAGTAATTTGGTGTATTATACAAAATATCTTTAAAAATGCTGGTAATCAAGGTAACAGAAAATAAGTTTTTCTTAGTTTTTGTTTTGAAATGAAATCTTTAGAAGAATAAAAATCTAAAATCATCTCATTTTCAAGATGCAACTATTCAAATTATTTTGGCTTTCAGTATTTTTCTGCTAATTGACATATGAGATTGAAATATTGCTCAATACTGAACATAGTATAAGAATAATATCGTACTTTATTCACATCACATACAAACTACATACTCTCTATCGAAATATAATGTAAGGTTCAAAAAATGGAAAATTAAAATCAATCCCTGTAAATATCAATCCAAGTTTTTTTTCTTCAAAGATTTTCTCAATCGACCCCAAAATTTATTTTTCATTATCGACCCTTAAATCATGAACCAATTACATTCCCAAACCTTAAGCATCTTAATTAAAAATGTAAGTCACAGAATTGATAGACGCTCGACATTGAAATATCACATCCAAACAATATCAAATCATGCGTCGGCAAGAAAATTAAAACTGCATTAATCAATAAACACTTTAAAACTATTATAATCGTCGCTTAATATATTGAAATATATTATAAGTCTATTATTAAATTAAGGAAGATGTACTTTGTCATATTCAAAAGTTATATAAATTGTATTACTTTGCCTTTTTACGTTGGATGTTGAAATATCTATGGTTTATCAACAATTTCAAAAAGTTTGTCAATAGTATCATTAAAAGCCTGCATTTGTAAATATTCTTTTCATTTTTCCTTTACATTTTTTCATGTGAAGCTCTTACTACTTATTCGTTACGAAAAATATTAAATGAAAATATTGTTTGCTACTATAATATTTAACCTTTTTTCGGGCGACATCATCTGACAACGCAACAGGGCCGACGGGTTCCAGCGCACCCAGGAAATCTTTGGAATCTTTCTCATTTAAATTATTTTTTACTATTCCACTTGTGAAATTAAAACTAATAGTGTCTAACTAATACAAAATGCTCCAGTCTGGTCGGTGTATTTTTAAAAGTTTATCGCTTTTTCTATCATATTTTCCCCCCCTTCTACCTACTGGCCAATCATAAACTGTGACTCATCTATCTTACAAAGTTTTATACATCGATCGCTATGTTGATATTCTGTAAATAGAGAATGTACTTTAACATAACCTCTGATTTTAACATACGCTTTCAGTTATTTTCAAACATTTTGGGCATTTTGGAGCTCTGTTGGACATAATTTCACTCGTGGAATAGTCCAATTAAATACGTTTTCTGCTTTGAAAATTCTCGCTTCGCGAGTCGGGAATTTATCGCCAATTTCCAAAGCACTCGTGATGACTTTATAATAATGAAATAGAACACATTAATTTAATTGTTTAATTTGAAACGGAAAACAATTCTAAATATTTAACGTTTAATTATTTTAGACTTTATACTTTAGTACTTTTGAAGTTTTAAAATTTACACATGTAATTTTTTATAGCTCTTACGTCGTTAACGGGGTACAAAGGCTTCAAACCATTTAAGATGAAGTCTCTAAAACAAAATTTAAAAAATGTGAAAATGAGATCTGTATTGGACTAAAAATTGAGAAAATAGAAAAATTACCTTTGAGGCGTCGAAAGGCAGTGGCTGGGAAGAAGGTAATACCGCATATCTACTCAGGGGTAAGGGTATTATGAAACTAAAATCTGTGTTGAACTAAAGTCTGCGAAGTAATCTCTGCCGTTCCGTAACATCCCTAGTTGCCGGATCATTACTGCATATCTCTATACTACGTGTACGAGAGTCAAATTGAAATAGGAAATAATACTTTTGGTATACCTACATCATTTTGTTTATTATCAATACATTTTACTTGTGAGTTTCGACTACAACATCTGAAGATTATTTTCACATAGACTCCCCAGCAACACGTCACGTTTTGAGATTACTTGCGCTGATATGGAGTTCGTCACGAAGATGAACAACTGAACGACGACGCTCGAACCGAGTAGTTGTAAAGAACTGAGAGGAGGTTATCATTAACGAATAGACAATTAAATCATGAGATAAACTTTGAGAATGTTCGTAGCCCCTTACATTTATGCGAAAATAATAATTTTTTAATAAACACTTTTTTTACCTATGTATCAAATTTATTTTGTTTCAATTTGTTCTAGTGTTCAATTACTTTTAAAATAGAGACTTGTGCAGCTTATGCAATGAACATAATGCAATATGTAGTATTTATAGACTATTTTGAAATTGAATTTGTTTACCGTTTATTTATCAGTTGGCATTGGAAACCAAATAGTTATGAACAATTATTTGTTCCGTTTGCTGTGTTATGTTGCTTATTTTTAGTGACGAATTTGAATAAGAATAATATTGTGACGTATAGAGTTTGGACGAACATCTTCCATATAGAGTTTGGACGAACACCTTCGAGACAACTTCACTTTCGCTGGTATGTGGCACGTGTTGTCACCCGTCTTCGTCACATCTATTTCTGAGGTAAGCGCACATTCTTTTTCGGAAGAGTAGATGTGCCTTTCTTTGACATACTGCTAATTTCTATATCTGAATAGTTATTATAGATTTTTATAGATACCTTATTGAAAGAATAATTTACAAGACAAAGTATTGTATGTAGTCATATAAATGGGTAAATTGTAGCTACAGGAATTATTGTACTTCCTCGTCACTGTGTTTAGTTGAGAAGAATTTTCACATATTTAATTACACACCTATATAGTAAGAAATTATATTAGTTGTAGTGTAGGGAATGTTAATTTTGTAGACGAGTTGTTACTCGATTTCGAACAAGTATTGTACTGTGACTCGAAGAGCTATGATCTTCGCCATGTGAATCGCCAAACTTTGTACAGAACGTAGACCGATGTATGTGAAATGCTCCTTGGCAAAGATTTTCTTCTGTTTGTAATGTCTGCGGGAACGAAGAGGAGAAAGAAACCCTCCGCTTCACCGAGTTCATATTGTGATGTCGCAGCGCCTGAGTGCCATCGTGTCTGAACCGGCTCGTCTTGTTAGGAGCTCTCTTGCTACTGTTGGGGCAGGGTACACATCGCCCCCAGGGGTCTAAAAAGGGGGGGAGAGAATATTTCGTGTTTCTGGGCGCGTCAGCTTCCTTCGTTTTTAGTCCCGTTAGTATTTGGCGTGGACCATTCCACGTCAAGTCATTCCGAAAAAAACTGAAAATATCATCATAGGCCACGGATCTTTGTAAAAACAGGCAGATTGTAACATTAGCATATCTGAGAATATTGGTAAAACTTTGATTATGATAATTAGTTGCAGAGGAATTTCTAATTGAAGTTACAGGCTCGGGCATCAAATCTGTTGCATGCTTACTCACAAACTGTACCATAATTTCAAAACTGCTTAAGATGGCGATTAGATATTTTCGACATGCATGTAGTGAAATGTTATTCTTCTGTAATGTGCAAATAATAATCTAATTTAACTTATATTTTATTGTCGAGTTCTGGGCGCGTCAACTTCTTTGGTTTTTAGTTCCGTAAGTCTACGGGATGTAATAGTCGAGACGTGCCTGTGTTTCTTCTTTGCTGGGACGCGAAGCCGGCGCTGACATGCAGGTGGGCATATCGGTTTCCCGCTTCCAGGTATCTCCCCGGAGAGGGCACCGTCCCAGCTGGAAGAAACTCACAGCTACCAACGTATTGTGTGGTAGGGACGTGTATGTAAGAGCGAGTGTGTATAAAGGGGGAGGATTTAATCTCGGGATTGACTAGTGATGCCGGTCGCGTCAACGACTAAAGTCATTAGTCTCGTAAGTGTGGTGAATGTTTTATCGCGAGAGGGGGCGGTGATGATATTCCCGTTGGATGGCGAGACCCGGCGCCAACATTCACGTCGGCGTGCGGGGCCCCAATTAGGTATCTCCCACCATCGGGACAAGTGTTAAGCTCCCGACCGGTCTCCTGGTATGTAGTGTTGCATTGTAATAGAGCAGGTGTTTGTAAGTAAGGGGTGAGGATCGGACAAGGAAGAGGAATGAAAGATCGCGCTCCATCCGTGGCGTGTTTGTTAAAGTACTGCTCCGGTATTTGCCTGGGCGTTGATCGGAGAAACTTACCTCCCCATTAGAGCAGTCGGCCCCGCGCGGCGAACCCAATGTTTTGATGCTAGAGAGCAGCGGCGGCTATTGCGGATTATTCCAAGTGGCCGCTGGGCCCGACTTCGTGAAATCAGCCGGAAGTGCACAGTGCTAAAAGGCGATCACGCGGAATCACCACAAAATCAAGTCATGTGCAAGTTTCCCCGCAGAGAGGATCGTGTCTGCCTAGGTGGGACGATCACCCGGACCCTTTATCTTCCTTAGTGTTAGTATGTAAAGCCGAATGACGTCCAGATATGAGCCAGGAACGTAGTACATATAGCTGTATCAAATAGACGAAGACGATGACCACTAATGTTTTTAAATAATAAACGGAATATGGTTTACATTTTACTTTTTCGTATACGTACGTTTACTACGGCTAATATACGTAATATAACAAATGTGTATGCTGAAATGATATTTTTGAC